TGATTGGACAGTCAGGACGGCTGTGATTGGTTCGCTAGGAGTCTACCGTGATTGGATGAAACCAATCGCAGGGAACTCAAAGCGATGTCATTGGCGGCCTAGCCGCGGCTAGCTCTATAAAAAAGAGCCGCCGCGAGCGCTGTTTTTACTCAGAACTAGCCTGTTAAATAAAGAGCTGTTGTTCACTTAATCTGAGTCTCTCGTCTCTCTGAGTCCGACCTGCTGAACTTAACAAGCTGTGCCGCGCAAAGCAGTTGAGGTTGAAAATCTGGAAATAAAAGTCTGTATAGAGCCGGGGCGGTTGGGAGGGCCCAGCAGCTGATCTTTGGAGCGAACCAGTTTGCTCACAGATGATAGCTGGAGCTACCGGTTCAGGTGAACTGGGATGAACCAGTAGAATAGCACCACTGAGGCAGAGCCTGGGCCATCTGTCAGCCTCAAATGGAGAGTCAACTTCCCCCAAATGTGGAGGTGGTTGATGAAGAAGAGGAGGAACAGCTGGGCCCAGTGCCTGATATGTGGCTGCACAGAAGGCAGAGAAGAGGAGAGCAGTGGAAAGCCGTGGGCTGATCCTGGGGAAGGAAGAGCCACCATTGCTAGCAAGGCCCCACCTTAGTTCTGGGGGTAAAAGGCAGGGGGCAGAGATGAATAGGTGTGGCAGACTACGATTCATCTTCCGGCTGGAAAGACTTGTTAGCCTCTGAGAGAAACTTTTTGCCAGGGCTGCCAGCATTCCTAATAAAGGAATCTTTTGAGTTCATGTGATGACCCAGGGCACAGCACAAAAGCAACAAAGTCACAAATGTAGGTAAAGTCCCTTTAATACCTCCAACTTGGCCCCCAATGTCCAGTTATCATTGGCTGGAGAAAAAACTCTCCCAAGAACAGTTTTTAAAGGGAAGAAATTCAGTTTGAACACAAAGTACATATAAATTATAAATAAAAACCAACACAAACTACGCTGCAGCAATTAATGAGACAGGGCAGGATAAAGAATTGCAGACTTCAAAAGATAACGAAACACACACAGTTGGGAGGATGCCAGAACCCAGATAAGACTTGACAAACAAAGATAATTCACACTTTGCTTCCAGAAACTTTGCTGTGCATAGTTTGCCTTTTTAAACAGTTTTCCCAGCTGCAGCTAATGAAGGGGATCAGGGCCCTTTCCTCCCCCATAAGCCACATAACTCACATTGCTCACTTCTCCGTTCCTCCCTGCATGCCCTAGGATGAAGAGGGGGTTGCCCTGGGTCTTCTTCTGAATGCCCAGCCAGACTGTACCCTTCCCCAGTTTCTTCCACAGCCACCGGAGCCACACTCCCACTCCCTGTCAGCTGCTCGACCTCCTCCTCGGAATCAGATTCCAACAGGGGCAGTTCATACCAGTGGGTTTGTTTGGGGAGCTGGGTCAGAACAGGGGGGTAGTCTGACCCAGTTATGCAAATAATCTGGTTTACTTTGCCAAAGCAAAGAATCCATCCAACGTTTCCCTTATAAACTTCATGTCTTAATAAAAGCCCAAATTTGTAGTGTGCATGAACAGTAAGTGTCTATGGAGATTCTCAGTCATCCAGGTTATGGTTGTCCTTAAGGTGCTTTTTCAAGAGGCAACTGGACTTTCTTGGTTTTTCTTTGAAGTTAAGAACTGAAGGAGATTCTTGCATGAGAAATGAAACGTCTACAAGGAAAACAAAGAAAATCCAGTTGCCTTTTGAAAAGGCACCTTTGGAATGATAGAAGGTCAGAGAGACAGAGAAGGAATATTTAGAAAAGAAATGTGCAGATCAGTTGCATAGATGGGATATATTTGGATGAGAAGGGGTAATCTTACAGCTGACCTGGAAATTGTGAGCTGGGATCTTTTCCCCAAGAAATCTGTCAAGAAAGTGAAATCTCTCAAAACTGTTGTGGCAGCAGGTGCGGATGGCTGAGGTCTTGGAGAGTGAGGACTCAGATAAGGGGCTTGTGTGTGATGCAGGGATTGGGCCAGGACTATCGGAGAGTGGAGTGCTGCCTTCGGAGCTTGTGGAGGCTGGCAGCAGTGATGCAGAGGACCCTGAGGAGCCTGTGCCCAATGCGCATGTGCGCAGGGCTGCTCAAAGGAAAGAGCAGCTGCAGCAGTATGGGCGATTCGGGAGTAAGGCTGCAAGGTGATGGCCCCTTCCATATGGGATAAAAGCCAGCCCTCAGGGGTTGGGTTCTTTGCAGGAAGGAAAGAAGTTATTTCAACTCGAAGTTCTCATGGAAGTCCTGTCCATTCTGATTTGTTCTTGGAGACATTTTTTGGTTTGGATATTTCTCTCCAATTAATTTTGTGTTTGTGTCAGCCTTTCACAACCTTGAAAGGGCTTGCTCTTATCTGGGACAATTAGTTTTAATGACTCTGTTGTGAATAAATTGAATTCACAGAGATGCATTAAAATGTTTGCTTTTATATATACTTTGTGTTTGTTTGATTTGAATGAGGTTTGGGTCAGAACAAAAAGTTAGGCATTCCAGGAGTTGAAATTTAACATTGACCAGAAGAGTATCACACAGTTGAAGATGCTGCACAAGGTGGTACTAATATATACAGTAGATCATTCCACTGAAGGTGGCATTTCTCAGGTAGGTGGCATTTGCTTTCAATATCATGCTTTTCAGTGGTGGGATTCCACATTTTTCCTACCTGTCCTATAAGAGTGTGCTTCGTGCATGCAGTGCACAAAAACCGCCTTCTGTGTCAGTGCTGGTGGGCTGACCTGTTTTTTAGCTCAGCTGAGGCACAGCAATCCACTCAGCTGCATGAATCAGCTGAGCTAAAAAACAAGGAAATATAGGAGAGGTAACGGTACGGGTGGGTGGGTGGGGCCAGCCAGAGGTGGTATTTGCTGGTTCTCCGAACTATTCAAAATTACACCAGAACTGGTCCAAACTGACTGAATACCACCTCTGATGATTTTTCATCAGATGATCAGGAGGGTGAACATCTTCTTTATCAGTTACTGAGGAGCCCAACAAAATATAGTCTTCAATTTTCATACAAACTATTCACTGAGCCTACGGAAAGGGAGGTTGATTGGAGCCAGTCATGTTGTGCTGTTTACTTAGCCCATACAGAGTTCAATCAAAAAGTTTCTCAATGAGATTCATGAATAAATTTTAAATGAAGGTCTAAAAATTGCAGTGTGTATGAAACATCAAAGGGGGAAAGAAACGAAGAGGGAATAACACAATTAAGGGTGGGCTTCAAATTTCTTAACAACCGGTTCTGTGGGCATGGCCTAATTTGTGGGTGAGGCTTGGTGGTCATGTGACTGGGTGGGCATGGCTTGCTGACTGGGTATGGCTTGGTGGTCATGGGACTGGCTGAGCATGGCTTTTATGTAAATATTGTAAATATTTATGTAAATATTGAATTTTCTTTAAAAAAAGAGCAACTTTTACCCAAAATCAGGCAAAGCAGGCAGGCAGATTGAGTTGCTTGCAGAATCACAGAATCACTCACAGATCTACCTTTCTGCAATCTGCTGCCTGAGTCTGCACTGAAAAATAGAAGCTTCAGTCCTAAGGAATGTTCAGCTCTGCTCTCAGGCCACTTCTCTCCCCCACAACCCCCGGAATACCACCCCTGACTGGGTCTCAGGGAAGCCTCCTGGGCGAAGGCAAAGCAGTACAACAGTGATTTAGATTAGCTAGAAAGCAAGAAATCCAATGATTTCCTGCTTTCTAGCTAATCTAAATTGTGCAGCATCGCTGATAGTCAGAACAGCTGATCATTGGGGGGGGGGAAGGAAAAATAGCAACTTACCCAAAATTAGGTGAAGGCACATGCAGGCAAATTGGATGGCATGCATGCCAGATAAGGAGTGACTGGCTGGGGAGGGGAGGGTGGAGAGGGGCAGGGCCAGCCAGTGGTGCGATTTGTCAGTTGTCTGAACTGCACAGAATTGTAACAACCATTTCTATAGAACCGGTCCAACCAGGTAGAATCCCACCCCTGAACATAATTCAATCTAATAAAGGAGTCTATTTGTACTCTAGCTCAGGGTTGAAATAAAGGGCTCTTGGTGCTATCTGGGCTTGGTTGTTTTCTTACATTTCATTACTCAAACTAGGTAACATCATCAGTGTACTGATGATAGCAATAGCAATAGCACTTAGATTTATTTACCACTTCACAGTGCTTTGTAGTTTTCTCTAAGTGGTTTACAGAGTCAGCATATTGTCCCCAACAATCTGGGTCCTCATTTTCCTGATCTCAGTGTCAGGGTTCCGGTGATAGCCCTAATTAAATCATGAGCCTAGAGCCAAGCTTAAATAGAATCCAAAAGATTTATTAGGAGCAACATTTTGAGATTGACCCATATGAAGCCAACTTTGAAATATGTGATATACGTTCACCCATGACCCTGTTTCCCCACTCCCCCTTGGGTGTGTCATAAATCATATTCTCCAACAAAGCACATTCACGGGCTGGGTGTCATCAATTAAATTTTCCAATGAAGGATTTTCCTTGGCAGAAGATCCAGTAGCCTAGCTAGAATCTTTGTAAGATAAGTGTGGAACGTACTTCTGGTTTTAATTTCCATACTGCTCCTTCAGGCTCCATCCCTCCTGCTTATGGCAACTCAATAAGAAGCATAGGAATGCTTTACGAGTTGATACTCAGAAGGATATAAGGCTGAGTCAATCTTGAGCCTGGTGAGATTTGAACAGCCAAATTGCAGGCAGGCGCAGGCAGCAGAGTTACTCTGCAGTACTGCATTCTAACTACTGCTCCACCTCGGCTCTTGATGTTACCTAGTTTGGGTAATAAAAAGTCTGCAAGCAAACAACCAAGCTCAGAGAGCACAAGAACCCCTCACAGTTCAATCTGTTTGATGAACCTCACATTTCTTATTGACTTGTAATTAGTCAAAGATAAATCTTGAACTGGAGATCACCACCCCCTTCTTCCTTTGCCATGATTTTAAAAATAAGTTTGTTTTCTTGATATTTCTCCTCTCTGTCTTTAGTCCCTGCCTCTTTCCAGATGTGTGGAAGGCTGTCATCCTGGATTCATGAAGGTGGCTCAGGAAGGAAAACCTATTTGTTGCTATGACTGTCTTCCTTGTGCAGAAGGAACCATCTCCACTGTGGAAGGTGGGTGACAGACTTTTGGGGAAACTATACTCTGACAATAATCATGGAATTTTAATTGTGAGCAGAATATTCAAAGATAGGGATCAATAAGAGTTTAGCATTACAAGGGAGATAGCATTTCTTGTTCATCATCTTGTACACTGAGAAGTGGATAACCTTTCCTTTCCTTTCCTTTCCTTTCCTTTCCTTTCCTTTCCTTTCCTTTCCTTTCCTTTCCTTTCCTTGCCTTGCCTTGCCTTGCCTTGCCTTGCCTTGCCTTGCCTTGCCTTGCCCTCCCCTCCCCTCTCCTCCTCCCCTGCCCTTCAGTGGTTGGATTCAATTTTTTTTACTACTGGTTCTGTGGGTATGGCTTGGTGGGCATGGCTTGCTGGGAGTGGCAGGGGAAGGATACTGTAAAATCTCCATTCCCACCCCACTCAAGGGGAACAATACTGCAAAATCTCCATTCCCTCCCCACCTCACTAACCTGCTTTCCAGCTCTGTTCTCCTGTGCAGGGCAACTAAAAAAGACCCAGCCGATCAGCTGGGACTCAGGAGGCAGAGAAGAGATGGGGGCAGTGTTAGGAATGTAAGTCACCTAACAGCTATTTGGGTTGGAAATATATAAACCAGGATAGACATTTTAGTATTATGTCTTTAAGAGATTGCAAAAACTGCAATTGGGTGTGGTTCTGCAAATGGTCATAAGAGGGAGCCAGAGACCTGGGTTGTTTTAGTCTCAGGAAGTCTCAGAAGAGAGTGTGAGTGAGTCTCTGTTTCCTTCTGTTGGAGAGTATTGCCGTTCCTCCTAATTGATTGTTATTTTTGGATTTGATGTAAGTCTGTTACTGAACTGTTTTTGATACTGGACTTTGATATTGGAATTATCCCTGGACTGAACACTGACTGATTTAACTGTGCATTGACTTGGACTGTGTTTGGACTGTCCTTAAACATTTATTGAAAGTAAAAATCCACATTAACTGTACAGTGTATCTGTGTGCTGTGTGTGTATTATTCAAACACTTCTCTCACTATGTCTCCCTGTATGTGCTCATTCTCCTAACGGGGAATTACCTCAACAGGCAGGACCAATCAAAGGTGGTATTTGCTGGTTGTCTGAACTACTCAAAATTTCCACTACTGGTTCTCCAGAATTGGTCAGAACTGGCTGAATACCACCTCTGCTTCTCTCCTCTTGCTTACCCTACCCTACTCTATCCTACTCTACCACACTCTTCTAGCATGGAAGGTAAAGAAACAGGGGAAACCACCAGCCAGGAGAACTGCTGTCAAACAGAAGACTTAGACATCTCCTTGTTCAAAGTGAATGGGGGCATTCATATTTGCAAAGGATATTTTATTGGTTTATTGGAAAAGTAGCTTCCTTTTTAAAAGAATCTGGAAAGGTCCATTGAATCTTTGAGTACAACTGTATCTGTGCTTGAACTAGTCCAATATAGAGTATCTAAATGACAACCTCTCCAGGATCATTGATGGGGAGTACAGAGTAACTTCAAATAACCAATTATCATATATTAAACAAACTGTTGAATCTATTGGTAGAACTCTAAACTATGGTTCATGGGGAATCTGAATGCAAAAGATGTAACCTCTAAAAGTAGCCAAAGCTCATCCTGGAAATGTGTTTCAGAGACTCTCACTTGCCTTTGGCATTTGTCCTTCTGCAATATAACACTTAAATAGCATAGCCATTGCTGTGTACTACTCCATACATTCTCCATACACATTTATGTACACCATCCCCATGTTGGGTCCTTGTTGCTCCCTGAACTTTGTTGTTTTCCTGCGGATATTTCTTTACCCAATTAGGTAACATCATCAATGTTAGAAGGGAGTGGGGTTTGCTCTCTATTTACATATATAAGTGGGTTGCCCTGTCAATGTTGATGGAATTGTTCACGGTAGTTCTTTGATTAAGCTGTTGCTTATTATTTAATTGTTTATCTGTTTGTAGTTTTCTTTTATTTGTACACCAGTTCCAGGTTCATTCCCAAAATGCATCTGATGGAAGAAACTGCTGATGTTAATCTTTCTGTTCACAGATGCTGAAAAATGTACCAAATGTCCAGCCGATCGATTTCCAAACTTCATCAGAGATAATTGCATACCTAAGATTGAAACTTTCCTATCCTATCAAGAACATTTGGGGATCATCCTAGCTACTCTTGCCTTACTTCTGTCATTGGTAACAGTCTTAGCCTTGGGAATCTTCATTAAATTCCAAGACACTCCCATAGTCAAAGCCAACAATCGGGATCTCTCCTACATCCTCCTCACCTCCCTCTTGCTTTCCTTCTTGACATCATTCCTATTCATTGGCCAGCCAAAGACAGCCACTTGCCTTCTCCGACAAACAGCCTTCACCAACATCTTCTCAGTTGCCATTTCTACAGTCTTGGCCAAAACAGTCACTGTGGTTTTAGCATTCCTTGCCACAAAACCAGGGAATAATATACAGAGATGGCTAGGGAAGACCTTGGCCAATTCTATCATCCTTTCCTGTTCTGGCATCCAAGTTGTCCTCTGCAGCATCTGGTTGGGCACTTCTCCCCCATTCCCTGAGTCAGACATGTACTCACAATCTGCAGAGATCATCCTGCAATGTAATCAAGGCTCTGTTGTCATGTTCTACCTTGCCCTTGGCTACATGGGTTTCCTGGCTGTAATCTGTTTCACGGTAGCTTTCCTGGCCAGGAATCTACCTGGGGCCTTCAACGAAGCCAAGCTCATCACCTTCAGCATGCTGGTCTTCTGCAGTGTCTGGATATCCTTCCTTCCCACCTACCTGAGCACAAAGGGGAAGAACATGGTGGCTGTGCAGATCTTCTCCATGTTGGTTTCAAGCACTGGCTTGCTATGCTGCATTTTTACTCCCAAATGCTACATTATTTTTTTAAGACCAGACCTGAATACAAAAGAACATTTGATGTCAAAATAAAATAAAAATGAACTTTTCATAGGACTTTCCTGCAGATGACAGTTAGAACTCAAAGAATTATTTTCTCCTTTAAAGTTCTGAAAAAACATGCATTGATACACATCTGTTTTTGTTTCACATTACATAATAAATAAACCAATAAACCACTTAAGATCAGACTTGAATACAAAAGAACATTTGATATCAAATTAAAATAGAAATGGACTTTTCATATGACCTTTTCCCAAAGGCCAGTACATAACTCAAAGAAGTTACTATGTCCTTCAAAATTTGTAAAAAATGCATATGTTCACACACACACAACACACACACAAACACTAACATAAACTTGTTTTTCTTTTGCATCACAATAGAAATAAACCTATAAACCACTAGGATTTAAGAAATATATTTCCTCTTTTTTGTGTGTGTTTAAATACATAAATTTCTCTCAGAGTCTTTCTCTCTTTCTCTTTTCCCCAAGTGTTGGTCTTTTCTTTGGTTCCTCTTACTGAATCTTTATGCACAGTTTAAATATTTCAACCTCTGCTTCTCTCTCTCTGCAATCATCGGCTTTCATAGATAAAATTTTTGTTATATATATGTAGAACCCCATTCCCCTGTCCAGAACTCCATCCATCATCTTGGTACACACTGCAATAGCAACAGTGTCACGTATGTGCCTAGTATGGGAAATGAGAAACATTAACTCCAAATCACCCCATTTCCAGCAGTCCGTGGAAGAGGGAAAACTGTTAGTAGACTTCCTCTTAGGTTGGACTATTCTGTTAATGGGACAATTGTTGCATTTTATTTCTATTTTTTTCAATTTGTATTTTCACTCATCTCACATTTGTGACTCTGGTTGGCTCACACTTAAAATATAAATGTTACCCAAAAAAAGAGACACATAAAATAAAGCACCAAAATCAGTTAAAAATGAGAAGATGTACAATAAAGGCATTCCAGAACAGCAGAACCATTTTATGGGTGCATGTCATTCTCTGATCCCCCAGGCAATTAGTAAAGATAGGATCTCAGGTCCTTCTGGAAGGCCAGCCAAACTGGGGCCAGCTTGACCTTTCGAAGAATGATGTTCCATGTGGCAAGAAGAGCAGCAAAAATAGTCATCCTTCTGAATTCCACCAGATGCGATTCTCTAATAGATGTAACCCACCAGAAATATCTTCTGCTGAACTTGATGGGATGGATAGATGTCATCCTGTGATGCAGTGGATAATCTATTTCAATGTTGTTGTTTTACTCTCAGCTACATGAGCTTCCTGGCTGTCATCTACTTCACAGTGGTTTCCCCAAACAGGAACCTTCCTGGGACCTTCAATAAAGCCAGGCTAATATCCTTCAGCATCGTGGCCTTCTGCAGTGTCTGGGTGTACCTGGTGTCCATCTACCTGAGCACCTACCTGAGTACATGGTGGCTTTCCAGATCTTTTCCATTTTGACGTCTGGTGCTAGTCTTCTGGGATAATCATCCCTAAATGCCACCTAATTTTCCAAAGACCAAATCTCAATTGCAAAGAATACTTCATGTCAAAGTAATAAAGCAAAATGAATTTTGGGAGAGAATGTTCCCCAAAAGATTAAGTGCTGATTTCAACAAACAATATTTGGCATGTTAATATTTAAAATAAAAACCCCGTATTTCTTCTTCAACTATGAATTGGTTTTCATGGTATAAACTAAGTTTCTGGATGTGAGTCTGCAGGTCTTTGTGAATGACTGCAGGAACCATCATGAACTTTGAATCATTGTGTCAAAAACTTCCAAGCTGTCATATATATATGTAGAACCCCATTCCCCTGTCCAGAACTCTATCCATCATCTTGGTACACACTGCAATAGCAACACTGTCACGTATGTGCCTAGTATGGGAAATGAGAAACATTAACTCCAAATCACCCCATTTCCAGAGGTCCGTGGAAGATGGAAAACTGTTAGCAGACTTCTTAGGTTGGACTATTCTGTTAATGGGACTAATTGTTGCATTTTATTTCTATTTTTTCTGGATGTGAGTCTGCAGGTCTTTGTGAATGACTGCAGGAACCATAATGAACTTTGAATCATTGTACCAAAGGCTTCCAAGCTGTCATATAACATGTGGATAATAAATGCCATTGTCAGATCCGTGTATCTGCCATTCTTCAATGGAAGAAGAAGTGGGGGAAGTTGGTACAAGTAATCCTTTTTGATGTAACCTGAATATAGTAAATCCTATATTGGTTCTGTATAACTTGCACATGATATATAACGGGAGGAGTGGATCCAAATGTCCAGGAACTTGTCACCTCTTGAAGAGATAACAAGATGGGAAGGAACCATAAAAATTCCAGCCCTGGAAGAAACTCCTGAGAACTCAGCTAAGATACATTCCCAGAGAAGGAGAGGGGGGAATTCACTTGTTGGTTCTTTGACAAAAATCCATATCTGAATGAAGGGAGGGGTTTTAACTTCCTTTATCTATGACTGTATGCCTGGGGATATCTTAGACTCTGATTTGCCTAGTGTTGAGATAAAACCCCTTTCAATAAAGGATTCCTTTTGAAACACCTAGTTTTCAGAAGTTCATTCTTTTCGGTTGAAGGGAAAAAGTCCAATGCTCATAGCCATATTTACAAATGAAATACAGAAAATAAATTGCTTGCTCAACCTTCACAAGAAACTAGAAGCAAAAAAAAAAAAAAAGAGGAATCTTAATTGAGTGGCACTTGGAGACCCTTAGGCCAATTCTGGTCATACTGAGCAAAAATTCTTTTCAATAAATTGCTGAAGCGTAAGTGGCAAATAAAACAGTAAAATCAAGAAGAAATTATTTTTGGGTTCCCACATTTGTTTGTCTCAAAATAAGGACTCATTATTCATCTCTAAATGGGATTCACTGGTACCTACAGATCTACCCGTAAATTCTCCTGGGTGAAAATTAACAATTTTTAATATCATCCATGCAGCAGCCATTTTGAATCAGTCTAAACTCTTGATACAACTCCCAAAAAAATTATGATATTAAAATATAAAAAGATAATAGGTCATTTCTTTACCTCTCTGGGTATATAAACCACATTTACTAAGACAGAGGAAGTAGCTCATCAAATGCGGAACTAAACGTTAGAAGACCAGCACGTGAAACTGAAGTTGTGTTAGTTTTACCAATTAGGAGAGCAAATCTTAAATAATAATGTGTGATTTTAAATGTTTTATTGTTTTTATTGTTTTTCTTTGTTAATATTTTGGAATATTGCAAACTGTTTGGAAGCAAAATTATGATTGAGTGTATTAAATATGCTACCATGGAATGAAAGGTAAATGTTATTTTCATTGATATGTTTGTACCTGCAGAAAAGCAAGCAAGCTTTATTGGAAATTTATGCCCTTCCTTTTCACCATTGAGGACATTAACAAGAATGACCATCTCTTACCCAACATCACCCTGGGTTATAATATCTATGAGAACTTTTTTAAGGTACAGATGGCTACAGATCCTTTGCTGGATCTCCTTTCAGACGGGGAATCCAATGTGCCCAACTACAGGTGTGGAAAGCAGAGAAACACAGTGGCTGTTCTGGAAGAGTCTGAGGTTGGCATCTCCATCCAGATTTCTACCATGTTGGGCACCTACAAAATCCCACAGCTCTGTCTTTCTTGGGGAGACAGTTTTGAGTAATGAAACTTTGAATCAGAGTTCCTCTGCAAATGAAAAATATGACTTTTTATGCAAATGATAAGGATTGGATGTTGCTTGTTACATATAAAATACCATCTTCCATTTCTTTCAGACCAGTTATAGTTTTACTTCCAAGTGTCTGGAGGATAAAACTCATTTTCCTTTCTTCTACCCGATGCTCCCTACTGAAGGAGTTGAATACCCAGGGATGATCCAGCTTCTCCTCTACTTCAAGTGGACCTTGGTTGCTCTCATTGCTGAAGATAATGACCAGGGGGAGAGGTTCACGAGAACAATGTCTTCTTTGATGTTAAGGAATGGCATCTGTGCAGTTATATATCAATGTCTTTGCTCAGAATTTCAATTCAGATGAATATTACAAACGGGTAAAAGTCAATGTCTTTGTTTATGGTTCAGAGCCTATTTCGTTCTTGTCAGGACTGAGAATTGTAGATGCCATACTTACACATCTTTCTGAACATGTTGTAGGTAAATTCTGGATCACCATAGCTCAGTGGGATTTTAGTCTTAGTGTTATTTTTAATGAAAATCCCTTGAAACACATTGGTGGCATTTTCTCCTTTCTAATAAAGGAAAGGGAATGAGAACACTATGATAATTTTGAAATCTTTGCTCAGTTCCTAGTTCTCTTTGCAAGAAAAACTTATAGATGTTCATCCCCCAAGGATGCCTTTTCAGTAAAAGTCTGGAGATGGTGTAGACAGACAGAAGAACTGGTGGTTGTGCAGAAAGACATGATTGATCGGATCCTGACCCTGGACAGCTATCTCTACAACACCATCTGGGCTGTGGGACGAGCCTTAAATTCAGTTTACATATCCACATCAAAGAGGTCAGTTAAGAACAGAGGTATGAAGATGGAAGCTCCAAGGCTGAAGGCTTGGCAGGTATTTCCTTTCCATTAGTCATATTTCCTTCAAACATGGAAATTAGTTTTATAAGTCGTTGGCTTGGTTATTTATTCTGAAAAAACTAAATTATCCTGAACGTTATATCCAGTCTAATTCCAACATTCCATTTTATTTTCCATTTAACTGTGATTGTCACTGTTCTAGCAAACAAACTCTCATTTGCCCAGGCACTAGAATGTGGCAGCATGGAAGCTTTTGAGGATAATATGGCTTCCAAGTCTGACAGGTGTCCTCCCCCTGAAGAAAAGAGCATTTCCTAAAAAAGAAAACTATACAATACCACACACCTTAATCCAAGTAACCACCCCCCGAGGACCCTTTGGCTTGTTAGGGAATTTATCATGGAATTGTTTAATTAATCTGTCTGCTTGTAAATCCCAACTCTTCACCCAAGTAGCTTCCTACAAAGG